GGGGTGGAGGCCAGGAAAATCACCCTCTCCACCAGGGGGGTCCTTCCCCTTGGCCAGAGGTCGGCCACAGCCCGCCCTGGTCATTCTGCAACTCCAAGCACAGAGTCACCTTGGAAAGGTATCGACACTGGGAAAGGGGGAGGCCCAAGGGACAATTCCAAGCCAGGCAGTGAGAGGGACCAAGCCCTGAGCCCTCCTCCAGCAGCTAAAGACAGATTTCAGTGAAAAGCCCAAGCGTGCAGAGCATGACTCACGGACACCTGCACTCTCCTCGCTCTCTGATGTCTCACAGCCATCCACCCGAAGCACACCCTGGTGCAGCCATGGCTGCAGGCAGTAGAACCTCCATTCTGTAGACAAGTCGCCGTCAGGGGAACGGATTAGTGCTTGCTAGAACAGGGCGCCAGGCTTTGACCACTTTACACTGATGTTCTGTCCTAAGTTTATCCTGATAGGGTAGGGCTTACCCACAGCAAGCCTGATCCTCCTGCAGAAACACACCTACAGAAGAACCGTGTGACTGACTTATCTTCCTTTTTGTTTGGCCTCCAAAGTTCAGAGCTTTCAGGTCTGCTTCCCTCCCTCGGATCCATCTTCACCTCAGATGGCACACAAGCTGATGCACTCCTTGCTCCCAATGACTGGGTTTTCCCCATTTCACTCTCTGTAGTCTTCTTTTGGTTTTTTGAGACAGAGTCTCACTATACAGTACAGGCTGCTCTTGAACTCACTATGTAGCCGAGGCTGGCCTTGAATTCATGGCAATTCTGCTTCAGCCTCCTAAGTGCGGGATTACAGGCGTGCGCCACCATGCCTGGCTTACTCTATGAATTTTTAATGTAGTACGTCAACACCTTGAGGTCCTCATGCAATACTTGGAGGAACATAAAACTGTGCAGTTACTGTGACAGACAGTCTAATGGCTCCTCAGAAAGCTAACCAGAGTGGCCATGTCCCCTGGCAATTCTGCTTCTGACCACCCACCAGGACAGCAGAAAGTATATATGCATACAGACTTGCACAGGGACATCTGTAGTGGGGTTACTCCTTATGGCAGAAACCACCCCAATGTCTACCAACTGAGAAATGGGTAAACAGAGGTGGTCTATCCACGCAAAGGGTATTACCCGTAAGGAAGAGTGAGGTACTGATTTATGCTGTGATAGGGATGAAACTCAAAAACATCAAGCTAAGTGAAGGAAGTCAGACACAATAATGCAGAACCCCATTTATATGAAATGTCCAAAACACGCAAATCCATAGAGTTAAAAAACAGAGCAGGGCTGGGGATTTAGCTCAGTGGTTCCGTCGCCTATCTAGCAAGTGCAAGTCCGGAGGTCGATCCCCAGTACCAAAAAAAAAAAGAATGACAATTAAACAAAACTTTGTTTCTGATTAAAAGAGCTCCCTGGGCTCTGAGTAAGATAATAAAAACAAACCAATGCCTAACCCATAGTGCTGCAACCACAGAGCACAAAAAGCAAGAGAAAGAAAAATCTTAAAGCCCATGTATCTATCCCAGTACCACCAAAAAAAAAGTTAACTGCCCAGACTCAGCAAGAGACAGTAACTACCGACCTTGGCTCATCCTCAACTGACAGAGGTGACATCTCCTTACCATGCTAAGGGAAAAGGGAAAATAATTTCCCACCTAAAACCTTATGCCCAGCTATCTTACCATCCATCATGAAGCACTGGAAGACCCCATCTCAAAACAAAAACATAAAAGGTAAGAGGAGAGTTAGCAATTCTATAATTTTTACATTTAAAAAGAATAAGAGGCTTCCTTCTCTACACTTATCTTCATTCCTTCTAAAAATTCCAATTTAAATGACAATAAAGACATTTTTAAAGTGTAAATCTAGAAAGACAAAGAGAACACAAGGGATAAGTTACAGGTCTCCAACCTGCTTCTGGATGCGGTTCAGTAGTGTTTGCCTCCCATGTGAGGCCCTGGGTTCCATCCTCAGCACCTCACATACACACACAAATATGTGTGTATCCCCCTTTGCACTGCCCCTCTTTACCCTCTTCCTCTGTCTAAAATAACAGATGTTCTTCTACTTTCTTGTCATTATTTTTAGATTTCACATATTAGGGAGAATATATACAGTATTTGTCTTTCTGAGTCTGGCTTACTTCACTCAACATCCACCCATTTTTCTACAAATGACAAAATTTCATTCTTTTTCTGGCTGGCTAATACTCCATCGTGTGTGTGCAGCACATTTTCTTCAAGCATGTGTCTGCCGATGGCAGCGAAGCTGGCTGCACACTGTGTCTGCTGTTTATTGGACCACACTACACACGGGTATGGGAGCCCTGACCTCAGTGTGCTATTGCTTCAGGTGTGTACCGAGGGGCGGTCTAGCTGGACAGGTGGCTCTGCGCTTAGTTCCAGGAGCCTCCTTACTGATTTCCCCACAGTGGCTATACTAATTCACATTCCCACCAGTGGTAAGGGTTCCTCTTGCCCTGTACCTTTGCCAGCACTGTTGGGGGTGGGGGCGTAATTCTTGACCAAGGTGAAATTCTCAGTCATTCTGAACACTTTCCATAAACTTACTGGGCAGCAAATGGCTGTTCTCAAAGTGTGTTTAGGGATCCCACAACCAGTGCTCCTTCACAGACAATGCACTGTGTGAATGTGTGTGCTAAGAGGCGGCCACGCAGACCTACGTGCCTCAGGGAGAAGGGCCACTGCCCAGGAGGGCCCGGGCAAGAGCGGTCACTGCTCAGAGCAGCCACGGAGCACCAGGCTGTTTCAGGGCTGGAAGGGTGATGAACGAAATGCCTTACGTTGCAGGGCTTTCGATCTAGAGGAGAGAAAGAGAAATTAAGAAACACAGGTGTGACCTATCAGGGAAAGAGGAAGGGGTGGAGGCCAGGAAAATCACCCTCTCCACCAGGGGGGTCCTTCCCCTTGGCCAGAGGTCGGCCACAGCCCGCCCTGGTCATTCTGCAACTCCAAGCACAGAGTCACCTTGGAAAGGTATCGACACTGGGAAAGGGGGAGGCCCAAGGGACAATTCCAAGCCAGGCAGTGAGAGGGACCAAGCCCTGAGCCCTCCTCCAGCAGCTAAAGACAGATTTCAGTGAAAAGCCCAAGCGTGCAGAGCATGACTCACGGACACCTGCACTCTCCTCGCTCTCTGATGTCTCACAGCCATCCACCCGAAGCACACCCTGGTGCAGCCATGGCTGCAGGCAGTAGAACCTCCATTCTGTAGACAAGTCGCCGTCAGGGGAACGGATTAGTGCTTGCTAGAACAGGGCGCCAGGCTTTGACCACTTTACTCTGATGTTCTGTCCTAAGTTTATCCTGATAGGGTAGGGCTTACCCACAGCAAGCCTGATCCTCCTGCAGAAACACACCTACAGAAGAACCGTGTGACTGACTTATCTTCCTTTTTGTTTGGCCTCCAAAGTTCAGAGCTTTCAGGTCTGCTTCCCTCCCTCGGATCCATCTTCACCTCAGATGGCACACAAGCTGATGCACTCCTTGCTCCCAATGACTGGGTTTTCCCCATTTCACTCTCTGTAGTCTTCTTTTGGTTTTTTGAGACAGAGTCTCACTATACAGTACAGGCTGCTCTTGAACTCACTATGTAGCCGAGGCTGGCCTTGAATTCATGGCAATTCTGCTTCAGCCTCCTAAGTGCGGGATTACAGGCGTGCGCCACCATGCCTGGCTTACTCTATGAATTTTTAATGTAGTACGTCAACACCTTGAGGTCCTCATGCAATACTTGGAGGAACATAAAACTGTGCAGTTACTGTGACAGACAGTCTAATGGCTCCTCAGAAAGCTAACCAGAGTGGCCATGTCCCCTGGCAATTCTGCTTCTGACCACCCACCAGGACAGCAGAAAGTATATATGCATACAGACTTGCACAGGGACATCTGTAGTGGGGTTACTCCTTATGGCAGAAACCACCCCAATGTCTACCAACTGAGAAATGGGTAAACAGAGGTGGTCTATCCACGCAAAGGGTATTACCCGTAAGGAAGAGTGAGGTACTGATTTATGCTGTGATAGGGATGAAACTCAAAAACATCAAGCTAAGTGAAGGAAGTCAGACACAATAATGCAGAACCCCATTTATATGAAATGTCCAAAACACGCAAATCCATAGAGTTAAAAAACAGAGCAGGGCTGGGGATTTAGCTCAGTGGTTCCAGCGCCTGCCTCACAAAAGCCAAGATCCTGAGTTTGATCCCCGGTACCAAAAAAAAGAAAGCAGAGCAGTTGCCAGGGCAGAGGGGACAGAGGGGGAAGAGAATGAAAAGTTACTGTGTGGTGGGGGCTGGGGATTTAGCTCAGTGGTTCCGGCGCCTGCCATGCAAGCACAAGGTCCCGAGTTTGATCCCCGGTACCAAAAAAAAAAAGTTACTGTGTGGTGGCAGAGGGTTTCTTATTGGGATGATGAAAATGTTTAGGAATTAGGTAGCAGTAATGGTTGCACAACACTGAATATACTAAAAACCACTGAACTGTAACCATAAAATGATTTATAAATGACGAATTTTATCTCAAAAAAATGTCCAGGAGTTGGGGTGCAGCTCGACAGTGACCACTTGCCTAGCATTCATGAAGCCCTGGGACGGATCTCTAGCACCAGCAAAAAACTTCACAGAAAGGCACATCTTTTGTTGAATAAGAAAGGTACTAAGAAGTAAGCTGCACTGGCCACGCAGCTATGAAATGTTTCCCTATTTTCGGCTGAACCACACTGGTTCTGTGGGTTTGTCTTTGTTTTCTGCAGCACTGAAGCATGTGCTCCACCACCACGACGCCCCAGCTCAGCAGGGAGATTCCTACAGCACATTTTAACATGAGGCGTGTGAGTGTACACTGAGACATTCTCAGACTTTTAAAGGAATACTATGAAAATGTAAAAATATTTCCAAAGTAATTACAAATTACAGCAGTCTTCGTAACAGCATTTGTAATTGATAAGGAGACAAAAAACAGACAGCCAGATACTGTGTGTCCCCTACAGGCTTGCCAAGAAGAGGAGGAGAAAGACAGGAAGCAGCCACCAAACGTGCTGGCCCATGCCTGTAAGCCTCACTCTGGGAGGCTGACAGAGAAAGATCATGAGTTCGAGCCCAGTCTGGACAACTGGGCAACTTAATAAGACCCTGTTTCAAAGTAAAAAAAAAACTTAAAAGGACTGGGGATGTAGCTCAGTGTAAAGGTCCTGGGTTCAACCTCCAGTACTACAAAAGAAAAAAAAGACAGGAAGAAGGGATATAAGAAAGAAGAGAGAGGATGAAATGACAGCAAAGATGTATGGAGAGACAAGAAAGTGGAAAAGGTGAAAAGAAAATAAAAGGGGAAGGTAGAGAGGGAAGGAAAAGAAAGGGAAGAGGTAGGAAGGAAAAGGGAAACATAAGAGAAAAAGGAAATAGAAAGATATGTCAGCGAAACATCCATATAATAGGAGTTCCAAAAAGAAAAAGAAGACAAAAGCTAAGAAATAAATAAGAATTGTCCCATAAGCAAAAGGTTGAAATGACCCATCAGGGTGAACTCAAACAGGTCCCCACCTCCAGAGGGGATTTAGATTACAGGTCACATGCAAGAATTCCAAGTCTGAAGAGCACTAGACTTTTTAAAAGAGAACACATGCATGGGGTGCTCAAAAATAATGAAGCAATGCCTTCAAATTTTTGAGGAAAAAATTACTTCCAACCTAAATGATACACCTAGTTACCACGGCATGCAAGGTTTCAAAAGATGTTGCCTCCCACACTTTAAAACAGCTACCAGGTGTGTCACCAGAGGGGTGGGTTATTGAACCCAGGAGCACAGGTTTTGCCTCAGAAGACAGCACCAAGAAGGAGTGCAGGTGAGGAAGGAATACAGTCCCACCAGGAAATGGTCAGCAAGAGAAAAAAACGAACTGGCTGTGGTGGCACCCAATACTAGCACTGTGGGAGGCTGAGGCAGGAGGACTACAAGCTCACGTCCAGCCTTAGCAACTTAACAGCTTAGTGAGACCCTAACTCAAAATAAAAATTTTAAAAAGGGGTGAGGATGTACCTCAGTGTGAAGGGCTTGGGTTTAATCCTTAGGATCAGGGAAAAAAAAATTAAGCTTTCTACTTTGTCATAATGATATGTCCAGAAATCGCACACCTTTGAAAATAAGACATACATGAACTCTAGGTTGAAACGGTCATCTCAGTTTCTGCTCCATCATTCCTGTATCGGGAACTCAATCACAGGGAGGATCAGGAACAGGGCAACTCTGAGGAATGCCCTCAGCGGTCTGGGCCACAAGGCAGCAGACAGGGAAGGGCCAGGAGTGAGGTGCCAGCAGCTCAGGTTTCTGCCCTCCAGCATCATGCCCAGCCCAAGGGGCCACTTGGATCTCCACGAGTAGCAATGTACAAGGACAAGGTCCTGTTAAAATACATTCTTGACAGGTACAGCAGTTCTTATCTGTAATCCCAGCTACTCAGGAGACGGAGGAGGAGGATCACAAGTTTAAGGCCAGCCGAGGAACTTCACAAGATGCTGACTCAAAATAAAATGTAATAAGGGTTGAGCATGTAGCTCAGTGGTAGAACACTTGTCTTGCAGGCATGAATCCCTGGGTTCAATTTCTAGTCACACACACACACACACACACACACACACACACACACAGAGCTACTTCTAATGGGCTGTCAAGACATAGATTTCCCTCTTTTCAAGTTTTTCCCTTTTTTCAATTTATGGTAATGACCAGGACACTTGCCCCAAAGCAGAGAAGGTGTACTCTATTTGTCCTAGTACTATTTCCTCTGAACCAGTAGACGGGCATCAGTACCACTCCCCTGATCTGCAGCAGGGCCTGATAGGGCACTAGTTGCCTGGAATCTGCCTTTCAATGATTCAGTCAGATTCCCTGAGATCCCTACAACACCTGAGGACAGACTCATACCTAAAAAATATCCCTGAGCACAGCTTCCCAAGGCAGACACTGAACACATAAGAATCACAATTGTTTCCAAGGAGCTATCTGAAGTTGAATTTTAAAGAAATACTTTCTTTTTACAGATTTCAGAACTCAACAAAAAAGAACCCAATAAACTATTAACCTGACACATAATCTCAACTTGTCTTCTACAAATAAAGTACACAACGTATTTCAGATAAACACCGAAAGGCAGAAAACCTACTTTTCTCCCTGCATCTGTCCCAGCACCTCATCCTGTGAGATCACACTATGGTGCTCTTACACCACTACTGAGTGTCACACTTCTACCCTATCTGAGGAAGAGTACGCTACCTCAAGTTAGATGAGCTTCTCCCAGCAGTCTGAGCCTCCAAGCTACACAGGAACAGTGGAGGCAAACAAAAGGACCCGACCTGCAGGCCCAGACAGTGCTCAGCCATGCCCAGGCCACACCAGCGTGGACAGTTCTGAGGGCCCACAACCCCCACCACCATCCAGTCCTAACTGTGTGCTGACCTGGCCACCAACCATGGCCCACGTGGCTCCTTCAGCCCACACTTGCTAAGCATAACACTGGGACCAAACATGAAGAGAGCAAGTGTTGTTCTATCACAGAGCTTCCACTCCAGCTGGGAGGGCAGGCGGCGACAACAAATGGGCAGATTATAGGAAAAATAATCAGCCAAAGAGGATCAGGAGAGCAGAAGCATACAATTTTAAGTGGTCGGGGTCCAATGTGGGCTTCACTGAAAAACTGATACTTGACCAAAGGAAGTCAACAAATTTTTTATTTCTTCATGGGCTTTCTCTTGTTTCTGAGCTTGGAAACTGAAATGAATGGAACTGCTTACAGAAAGAATGCTTTGGTGGCACACACCTGTAATACATGCTCTGAGAGGCTAAGGCAGGAGGATTTTGAATTTGATCCCAGTCTGGATAACAAGAAGCTTAGCAAGTTTGCTTCAAAACAAAAAAATAAAAAAGGAGTGAGGATGTATCTCTGTGCAAAGGGCCTGGTTCAATCCCCAGTATCAGAAAAAAACCAAACAAACCACACTTTATCTGGACAGTGAACAGCATTCCCACCCCAGCTCTGGCAGACAAAATCTCAGGGGCCATTACTAACCACTCTTCCCTACATCTGTCTCTCTCACTCTCCCAAACGACACATCCTGTCACCTTTGCTCCAGAGTGCTTCCCAGCTGAGCCCACCTATTCTCTACTCCGGTCTCCAGGCCAGCCAGCCACCAGGTCTAAGGAAAGTCTCCTAAATG